AAAAAAAAAAAAAAAAAACAAGTGAAAATTAAGTCCTGGCATTTTTTGAGGGGGGCCTTGAGTTGAGATCCACTGGTGTTGATCAGTCCCAGGGAGAGCAGTTTGTTTTAAGGTTGTCAGTATTTCTGAGAGAGATGTTTTGATAATCATGTCCCATATCTTGGAAGTGGTGCTTTTGCTTGACTTCTGAAATTGTTCTGAGTTATTAGGCTACACTGGAGTGTTACACTACACTGCGGTGTCAGAGCGACTCTTGTCCTCCATAACTTGTAATAAAAGTAAATGGGGAGTCTTGTCAGGTGTAAATTCTTTCTTCTGGAAAACTGCTCTTTTTAGGCGACAACTTTGGCTAAAAACTATAGTGCTGTTAGATACATGTACTGTATTGCTTTACATCTGCTTTTACTTGTTCTTGAGATATTTTATGCTCTTGCCTTTGTTTATACAAAGACGATTCAGGACCCTGAAGAGTGAATTTGGCCCTTCTCTCTGCTGAGCAGGTCCCCTTTTTCTAAGTGTTGGATTAGGTTGTTGTTAGATGAAAATAACTTCTTGTGCATGGACTTACCCATTCTTAGCCATTCCACCTGACAACCTCAGTGCTAGGCACTGTAGGTAAAGCGCTAGAGAAAGCATCTTCCAGCTTTGGAGGCATTTCTGATGAACCCTACGGGTGAAATTCTGACCCTGCTGATCCTCAGGCCATAGCTCCCAGCCCTAACCCCACCTCTGTGCAGACCGCAGGGGAACACCGACTGCTTTTTTTCTTCTTCTTTTTCGCAGTAACAAAGGCATGGAGCATCTTTTGAGCATGAAGTGCAAAAATGTGGTCCCAGTCTATGATTTGCTGCTGGAGATGCTGAATGCACATACCCTCAGAGGGCAGAGGAAATCTGCAGTCACAGGCTCTGAATTTGGCCTGTCGGAAGAAAGTGAGACTAGAGATGGGATGTGAAATCTGACCACACAGAAACTGCCTAATGACCTGGAAGAGCAGGTTTGTAGGAAATGGTGGGGGGAAAAAAGAGCACTATTCCATGGCATGCATACATATATGCCTTGTAAGTATATGTATAAAAGCCCTTGAGATCTCTTTATGAAATTCCATTGACCCTCTCTGAGCCCATTTAGATTTGCACACGTGACCTTGGATAAGGCTATGGAGCACCATATGGGTAGTAGGACTCACGCCTTGTTGGTGTTTCGGACATTGCAATTACTTTGCACTTTCCTAATGCCTTCTCAGAAACTTGCAAAGCACCTTATGGACATTCTGCCTCAGAGCAGCCCAGTGAGAACGTTACCCTGTCTCGAAAGATGGGTGTGCTGAGGCAGGGAGAAGCTAAGCGATTAGCTTTTAAGGTCACACAGCAGGTGTGTGGCAGAGCTGGGACTAGATCCAAGGTCACTTGGCTCCCAGTCCCAGCCTAACATCATCTGGAATGTGCAGCTGTGTTACATCACTTGGGAAGGATCTGATCTCTGGGGATGGTTACTGGCAAAAGACTTTGGTGTTTTAGCTAATGAAAAGACCACGTGCAAAACAAATGAGTCTGTTTTGCATCTAAATATGCAACCCTGGAACCCTTCCTCAGGCTTTGTGGAAAGCCATTCAGAATGCATCCGGGACACTTGGCAGATCAGCTTTGGACATGCAGCAACCCATGTATGGTTTTGATGAGATGATCCTGCCCTTTGCACAGTCCTTTTGTGCTTCAAAGTTGAATCTGGCTGCCTGCTCCTGTTCATGAAATGCTGAGCTTGGGAATTCAACATTAACGACCCCTGTTGCAGATTTATAATAACTGAAATATGACGTCATCAATATGTTAGGGACAAAAGTTAATGTTTAATTGTGTGTATTAGGAAAAACAGTGCTGTATAACTTGGTGATCTGGTTCTTGTAAATGCGCTTTCTTGGTCATTTCGCAATCTTCCTTTCACCTGCAGCTTCAGTACAGTTTCCTTGTAGAACATTTTGGGGGCAGGGGGCTCAGATTATGCAGAATATATAACCGTGATGATGGCAGGAGGGAGGGCAAGGCAGGTGAACGGGAGGCTCAGCTAGGATCTGCCTTTATGTACCTGCCTCATTTTGGCTCTTATTTTCGAGAGGAAACTCCATGAAAGTTGCTTTTCTAGGGGTGGCTGACTTTTTGTACCTTCCTCCCTGAATGATGAAAGGACAAATGATGCCTCTGGGATGCTTCATGTATGGCAATTTGCATCTATTTCACTAAATATGTCACTGTATAAAATGCCTGTCTTGTTGATTTTTGCATATATCTAAGATGCACTGAGTCTAAGCACTGATCTCTGCATATATCTAAGATGCATTTCAGCTGCCTATGTGATATTCTGTTTTTATGCTGTAATTGCACTTAATCTTGGAAAGTGACACTGGAGGTTAGCAGACTTGACTATTTCACAATAGCAATTAGTTTTTCATTATGAACTTTTACAGACGAGGTAACTACCTACCAGAGGTACTTACCTAAATCCTAATTTGAAAGTCCCTCTAAGTCAGTGGGCATCCTCTCAAGTGACATCAATGAGATTTGGATTGTGCCCTTAGTGAGGGCAATTGTTCTCTTTATTGACCAGTATCTATGCTGTGAATATTATTGACTTTTGATCTGGATATTTTGAAGCCAAGGATATTGTATTTTATAGGAAAGGTGACCAAAAGTGCTTTCAGTGAGTTAGACTATATTGTCTATTGACTTTTGATCTTGTACTATAGATGACAGTCTGAAATCTTACCAGCTATTTTTTTTTTAAATAAAGGGCACCAATGTATTTTTCTTATATATGTGTAATAGCTACTCCTGCAAAGGGAAAGAAAAAATGCAGCTGCAGTCTTGAATTTATTTGGGCTTACCCAAATTGAAGTTGTACTCAGTACTACATGGACGTGCCTGAACATTTCAAAAGAGAGTCATATTTGGCCTGGTCACCTGCCACACTGCTCTTCTTTTTGTTTCCAACTCTGTGCAACCCTTTATTTCTAAAGCAAATGTTTAACTTGGCTTTTTGCTATAAAAGCAGGCCCTATTCTTAAGCTATCCTACAACAAACTCTTGCAAAAGCGAATTTAGAAGAATCAGTGGTTCTAAAAATGATTTAATCCCCTCTATCCAGGTTCCTTGATTTATTCTGGACATATTTTATATTGAGGTGCTCATCTTGGTATACCATGTTTGTAATTGCTAGCTCTTTTTGCTAGAATAATATAGACAGAGAGGTGATACCATTTCTGGAGTTCTGCTTTCTCTACTTCAATCCAGCCTATTTTGTTTCCTTACCTGTGGCACTGGCAGACATGACAGCAAGATGGGTAGAGTGTATATGTATATGTCTGGTTGGACGTAATAAGGGGTGTGCCTCAAAGATAAGGGGGTTTTGGTTGTAGCTGTGTTTGTCTAAGAACATAGGCAGGCAAGGATCTTTGGGTAGATGTGAGATCTTTTATTAGACCCACTGAGTACTGTAGTTGGAACAGTTCTCTGCAAACTTTCGGGCTTAAGTGCCCTTCTTCAGGCATAGGAGACTGCTGTTGTTCTGAGAGCGCCAAGGACTGAAAGATGCTAGAAGTGTGACAGGAGGTCAGTGAGAACGTAAAGAGGTGGAAATTAGGAAAACAACGGGTAGAGAAGGGAGGGGAGGAGGGGAACGAGGGGGGAAAATTGGGTGAAGGAATGGCAAAGGTAAGCAAGGGAGACTGCTGTAGACTCTCCAAGATAAGAGCACTTCTGTCTAAACCAATTGTTGTATGAAATTTTTTTTTCTATATAAACATGAGCAGATTGTCTGACTCTTACAAAAGAATTAAATTTGTCATGGCCTGTACCCCACAGGTTCTCTTAAAAATACAGCACTGGATTCTAGCCACGGACAGTGTGCGTACGTGAGAGCGAGAGAGAGAGAGAGAGACTGTCTCTGAAGACTGCAGTGCGGGTATTTCAGTTGTAGAAATGACTACAGAGCATGGCAGGGACATTTGGAAAGGCCCATGGACTGATTATGTTAAGCTTACTTATGGAGCCCTGCAGGGGTGGATCTCCACATGCAAGGTGAATGTCATCAGCCCACGTGCCTTTCCCAAGGTCCCTGTAGCGTTCTGCCGTCGCTTCTCCTCACTGTGCTGTTACCTGAATGATGAGCTCAGCAGCCTCACAGCAGTCTGGCACTTCAGACCCTGTGGCTTTTCAGGTGTTTGCACCAGGATTTTAACCACATGTTCAGAATTGGCTAAGCTGTCTTAGCAGCACCATGGCAGGATGCGGGCAAATCTTCCAGCAGAGGCTTGCAGGTCCTGGGGTATGCTGACCTGACACCACCAGCTTCATTCGTGCCTGCAGGGCAGAGGAGTGAGGAAACGTGGGATAAAGTGTGAAGGATGCAACCAAGTTGGGACGGGAAAATAGAGCAATTGGGGCAGACGGGGAAAAAGAGGTGAAATGTCTCATGTCCAAGGGTAAGGGATGCGGTGAAAAGGTGAGGCACATCCTCAGTGCAGGTGTACACCACCATGGTCACGTGACCTGTCATATTAATTAGAGGTTGGAAAACAGACTCTTGTGAGGAAACAGTTTAAATAATTCAGCTAAATCGCCTTTTTTGCCATTTTTAACCCTCTCTTGTTCCACTGATTGTTTTTAATCCAGTTAAATGCTGGCAGCTCTTATGTATCTATTAGAAGTGACGTATCAAAACCTTACTTGTACACAGATTGGGGCTTCGCATTAAGAACACCTTCCTTCAGTAGCACGATGTTCTTGGGTTTCCCCCCGCATGCTCATTTCTAGAAAACGGGCATTTTTAGCTACGTTTGCAGGAGATGTGGCTCGGGATCACTTGAATACCTGCGTAAGCTTCCCTTGCAAGATACTAGGCCAGTTACCCACCACTGGCATCACAGGCTGTTTCAGGGGACCTGCACATGTCAAGAATAAGCCACTCCGCTGCAAACGTGCCTGTCATTTGCACATGCACTAAGCAACTGGAAAGCTTGACCCTCCCCATACATACAGCTGTGAAGCAGGTTTCTGAGCACCCATGGTTGTGCTTCTAAGTGGGACCAAATAAGTTGTTGAAGTCGGCAGGCTCTCCTGCAGCATACTTTACTTTAACACAAGGGTCTTAAGTGTAGCAGCAGTAGTGAGGCCTCATACTATGATTGACACGCACGTAGATTGGGTCAGAAATATACTGTGGTCAAATCTACATGCAAAGGGTGAACATTTGTTCTGCTTCCTTTTTTTTTTTTTTTTAATGACCAAGATTTTGAAATGTGACTCCATTTTTGGGTGGAGATTTGAGCTGCTTAAAGGGATGCGGCCACACTTATACTAGCCTTTCCTGGACCCCTTCCAGGAGCTGAAGTCTAGCAAAGGTGTGAAGGTAAGTGTGACAGACTCTCGCATTGGTGGTGGCGCTAGATGAGAGCACCATTGCAGCTGCTTAAGTTCTTCAGGGATGTGGCTGAAACAGAGGCCAGGTCAGAAAGTCAGTTTGGGGCCTCATTTATTCTTAGTACAGTTGACGATTGTGCTGTTTTTAAGTCGGTCCTTGTCTTGCTCAGGATACGTGGGGCTAGGAGCAGTGGGGAAACTTGTGTTCTTTGTGAGTCCGAAAAGAAGGTGTGCCTACGTTGCTATTACTTTTTACATCTCATTAGTAGCCTGATTCAGCAAAGCACTTAAGCACATTTAAGTGTTTTGCTAAATCGCAACCAGGAATTAGCCTAAAAAAATTATTCGTGCGCAAAACACACAAATAGGTTAAAATGGATACTAGGTATTGTGTGTGTGTGTGTGTATATACTATACTCCCATGAGTCATCTGACAACTGATCAATACGAGAGCTATAATTTATGAAGATCAAGTACTATCTTCTTTTAGGTTATTTTTATGAATGTATGTTAATTGCTAGACAAATAGCTAGGTATTTGCACCTTATCTTTAATGCTTAAAATACTGATGAATCTAATGAATAAATAAAAAATGATGCTTTACTAGTTTAGTGTGGCTCAGTAGATAAAGGTGCAATTTGTGAGCAATCTAAAAACTGTGATTTTTAAATCAAAATTTTCTAGATTAAAATAATGATTCAAATGGAGTACTGTACTCCATGTCATAGCCTCTCAGCTGTACTCTGGAGGTCTCTTAAGCATTTGCAATCTTTTAACAAGTCATCTGAACCCCCGTTACATCATGTTTAGTATCATTTCTTCTCTCATGGCTCCCACATAAAAACCAGACTGCTCTTTTAAGGAAATGCTAACTTTTGGTGATATAAGCTAAATAAATCATGGATTAAATTTCATCACATCATAAACTATGCTAGTGGTTTGCTTTCATGATAAGCAGTTATCATCTCCAGTGAATGTTAATACTACACAGTTCTTGTGAATGTGCATTGTTCGCAAACTTTTGTATTTTAAATCCTACTTCAATGTGTTGAAATTTCTTATCTGTATTTTGTAAATTTAAAGAGAGATTTACCTTCATTGAAATGGTTTTAAAACTGAAATGTTTTTAGAATTGAATTTGGTGCCTT